TCTCTTAACTACCACAAACTGACCAAAGCAAGAATCTTTACGCAGAGAGAGTATCATGAAGTATTGTAGCTTAGATCTCGGCATATCTCCAGTGACCTCTTCGCTTCAATCTTGTCTCCAGCATTCTACGTGAGTTTTTCTTATCCTGATCCAATATCCTTACTCACCTTTTAATATTTGATTCACGTTCAGCTTTCAAATCTTGTTTTTTCTTGAGCAAAACCTCTTAACCTCTTAATTGGTTTTGAAAAATGGCTATATAGGGATAATCAATCTTTAACCATAAGACCAAAGGAGACCAATGCAGTCTATGATGGAAAAGTAGGAGGATACGATCTTGTAGAGATTCAGGTAGGCTAATTAATCTCTATTTGCTCTTGTATATATAGTTTGTTCAGTTTTTCATTTTTTCTTAATTAATTACTGATAAATACAACAATGAATATACAAAGATAAGAGCAATAATAGAGATGGCGAGCAAGGAGCGAGGGAAAACGGCGTTAGAGTTAGCACCTATGAGAGTGGAATCACCGTCAGGGTTTTCGGTGAAGAGATCTGTGAAGAGTTTTTTGGAGAAGAGGAAGAAAAGAAGTAAATCTTTTGCAGCTTACACTTACACCTCCACTTCTTCCTCCTCTTCGCATAATTTCTAAACCCCAAGTTATTTAATCTACCAAAACTAGAAAGAACCTTCTCTTATGTATGGGTTGGAGAAGATTCTCGCTATACTTTGTCATTTTTCCGTATACTCGACGATGAACTTCGAGTTTTTTTTTTCTTTCTTGTTTGTTTTTTAAATCAAGATGTTGCAGTTGTATAAATTCAGATCATCTGGATCGCTTGCAGTCCCTCCGTATAGTTATGTTGTTTACAGGTTTTTCACATGTTAAAATAATTAAAATTTCTAAAGTCAAACTGGAAAATATATACTATAACATCTATATGGAAGAATAGTTTTATTCCTCATGATATCTCTTGCATGAAGTTTCACATTTTCCTATAATGAATTATGAGGTTGTTCGTCCATTTGAAGTTAGATTTACCTCAAAATCGGTGCTAGTGTGAACAAAAACATCACACTTTGAAGTGGCCGGTGCACTATTTAAATTATATCATAGTTACAACTTAAAATATTTTCAGTTCTTTTGCTTTTTTTTTTCTTACTTTGCTATTATAAGATCCTCTTTACTATAGAAGATTTCAAGATGCTGTGTATACCACTAAAAACAAAATGCTACCAAACAATCATTAATTAGTAAAAGCAGAGTCTACTATATGAACCATTATACCAACTATATATATATTACTGTTGAACTCTCAACCTCCATCACAAAAATAGGAGAAGAGCCCCATACAATGAATTCTTGTAAAAAGACGAGAAGGAGCAAAGAGGTGTATACAAGAAAAAAAGAGAAGGGGTTTGTGCGTTCGGATTGTTAGACCAATGGTACATGGCAAAAGTTCACACGATTTTCAAAAAGAAAAAATATTAAAATAATATTTTGGCTATGATACCGTCTCTCTCCAGCTCTCCCCCGTGAACATGTGAGGGGTGGAGTTCATCACTGTTTTGTGGGCCCCACGCCACGTGACAGCCCGCTATTGATCAGTATAATTTAAAAAAAAAAATCAAACAAAAAAATAATAATAAAAAATTCAAGTTGTGAACCCCAACTGGGTGTTCATTAATGCACTTGCTCTTATAACACGACAAAAGAAACATGTTACATAAAAAACTATAAACTCCCTTTCCCAGCCACTTCCAGAACCTAAACATGTTAATCAAAAGGGAACATCACCTAATCCTCCCCTAGGCTCTAGCTCCAATATCACTATTCTCCGGACAAAGGATTCATATCATCATTCTCTATTCAAACACTAATCTCCTAAATACCCCTGTTTTGTTCCTTAGCAATGTAGTTTTCAATGTAAAAGCACCAAAAAATGGCTCACCTCGGAGAATACATCTCTTCCGACAATAACCTAGCTACTCCATGTTCCACATTATTTCCCATCATCATTAGTACGCAACTAAGAAGAGTCTGCATTTGTCTACTATCGTAATAGGAAAAATAGTTTAAAAGTATAAAAATAAATTTAAAAAGTATAAAAACACTTGTGTGAAACCCTTGTGAAAAGATTTCTACACCATCTCAAGTTACTTACAAGTTTTGGCTCCTCTAACTTTTTGTTTCATACTTCTCTCTCTCTTTTTTCCTGATTAGTCTCTCACAGATTCAGAGTTCATCTGACCACCCCTTGCATGCGACTCACTAACAGCCGACAGTTTACGACCAAAGTTCAACAAATAGTTCCTCTGGTCATCATTGGTGTGGCGAAGACTCGCTCGTAAAAGATCAGCTGGCATTTGCCATCTCTGAAACATTTGTTGCACTCCCTTGGTTATGTCTGCAGATCGTCTCATGCTTGCTCCTGCAGTATTTAGTAAGAAGGTTGAAGAACTCATCAAATGAGCTCTCCACAGACCATCATGGACTACTTCAGTAGCTCTCTCAAGAAGAGATATCAGTACAACCGAAGCACCATCCCCAGTAGAACTTCCAATAGGCAGCAGAGGTGGCTGCTCTGATGAACACACCACAGCTGCAAGGCAAGCACTCAGTCCCCAGAGATCCATGGCTTCAACGCAGACCTTGACTGCTTTAGCAAGATTAGTATCTGAAGGCTGGCCACCGAATAGAAATCTTAAGTGGCAACACAGCCATACAGAAAAATCAATCAATCTCTGTACCTGGAACTAGAAGTTGTATGTACTTTGTAAGCATTTTCTGCCCTTTGGAAGAGTGGGTATATGAAGAAAGACAACATCATCCTTAACAGCCTGTTTGGTTTTGCTGAACAGATCAGCAAGCTGAAGTATTGTTGCCAATCCTTCCAGGAGAATCTGTTGCTTTCTCTTGACCTGAGCACTTCCGTCCTGCGAGGGCCTTGTTAATTGGAGAGTCCTGTCAATGTCAACTATGTCAATAAGAACCCCAGGAGCATCGTCAACTGTTACCCTAGCCGCAACAAGAGGTTCCTGCTCCAATGTATTCCATCAGGGGAAGAGTCAATCTCTAACAAGGCACATGTCCTGCCAATATAAGGAACTTCTGGATGCTGTTCAGAGCTATTACGAGACCGAGGGTGGTGGTGGTCCTTCAACTGAGAAGGGTAGAAGTTAGTGATTGCTCTAGGCTTCTTGGAAAATATATCGAGAAAATAAAAGTTCTGAAAAAGAGCTTGAACAAGATGTTTGCGATGAAAGATCTCAAGCCCGCATCAAGAGTTTTAGGTATGGATATCAAAATAGATAAGAAGAATGGAATTCTAAAACTATCTCATGAGAGATATATCAAACAAGTCCTAAGAACTTTCAACATGGGAGAGAGTAAAGTAGTCGTTACACCGAGCAACTCCCTATTCAAACTAAGGAGCTTAGCACCAGAAGAAACAGAAACATAGATGAGAAGAATGAATACAGTTTCCTATGCAAGCGCAGTGGGAAGTATAATGTATGCCATGGTTGGATCTCGACCAGATTTGGGTTATGACGTGGGATACTGAGTAGATATATAGCAAACCTATGAAGAGATCATTGGGAAGCGGTAAAGTGGATCTTAAGATATAAGGGCTTCTAGTATTTGTCTAACATTTAAAAATTCAAAGAAATTTGACATTGAAGGTTATTCAGATTCAGATTACTCTACGAACTTAGACAAAAGAAGATCAGTTTCAGCATATGTCTTTATAGTTGGGGGCAATACAGTTAGTTGGAGATCATGCTTACAACAAGTAGTTGCTCTATCTACTACATAAGCTGAATATATGGCCTTATCAAAAGCTACAAAAGAAGGTATCTCGCTGAAAGCAATATGCGAAGAGTTGGTTTCAAACAAGACTCATTCAAGCTAAATTGCGACACACAAAGTGCTATCTGCCTATCAAAGAACAGTGTGCATCACGACGGAACTAAACACATTGCTAGTAAGTATCATTTTATTAGGGATATTGTGGAAGAGGGTTCAGCCAATATTTAGAAATTTCATTCTATAGACAATGCGGCAGATATGTTAACCAAGAGTTTACCTTGACGGAGTTTCGAGAAGTGCCTTGGCTTTCTTAAGGTGATCCGGTAGTCAGCTTGAAGCGTTGTGAGGTTCCTGTTTGGTTGATTGAAGGACCTCGCAAATGGACACAAACAAATACTGAAGATGCTCAGTATTGGTAACAAGGTAATCAACACACAATTTTTTTTTTGAATGGTAAAATTTAAAGGGGGTTAATCTACAGTTTCAGAAGATTAAAATGGTTTCCTTATGATTGATCTACAGTTTCAGAGATTAATGGGTTTCTTAAAACATGCGATTATTGGTTTTATCAGAGTTAATCCTTAAGGGTTTTCACTAGGTTTAACTCATAAATTGCTACAATAATATTACAATGGTTACCTCTCAACAAGGATGAATTAAAGTTTGAGTCTTGAGATTCTTCGTCAAAGGTGCAGATAAGATGAAGATATTAAGAATCGTTACAATTTCTCAGGTTGTAAAAGGGGTAATTTAAAAGGTTAGCATATTACCGAGATTTGAATATCGGGTGAGGATTGAAGATAAGTATTATCAGACCCTCCTGGAAATCTGAGGCGGTGAGATTAGTCGACAAATATCTTCTATGTTCTAGGGTTTTCGGGTCTGAGAAAGCAAGATCTGGTGGTTAACCCAAATTGAAAGCATGTCTTCTGGTAAGATACTTTGCGGTGGAGCAGAGGAAGATAGATCACCGGATTTGACTGGTGAAACTCGTGAAACTGAAACGGATCTCCAGTTGGAGAAGTTCTAAACTTCATAGGTTGCATGTGTGGTGCAAAGCAAAAAGAGAGAGGTGGAGTGAGCTTGGGGAGTTATCAGAGAACGATCGGAAGTGATTAGCCGGTGAAACGTGATTCGGTTGGAAGAGAATGGGAATCAGCGTAGAGAGAGGTTGTAGAGCTTCCTCAAAAACTCGAACCGAGACAAAGGTGGATTCTGTCAGATATGCTGTCACTTCTCTCATGCCACAAGACTGTCAAGCCCACATACGAATCTGTTGTGGAGTGAACTAGATTCAAATTCTTCAAGTGAAATAGCCCACTCCCTAGGGCATTCGTCTTGCTACCTACATATAAAAGGAAGTAACCTAATTACGCATATATTACGGTAAAAAACAGAAGCAGATTGTGGGATTCAGATTACAAGCAGATCGTCTTGGTTAAAAGATTGCTTGAGCTTACCTAAGAAGAAAGCAATCGAAGAAGAAGAACTTGTTTGGTGTAGATCATAGTTCTTAGCTCTTAACTTTGGTGTATAAGTGGTTAGAGCTCTCATCTCTTGTATTACTCTCTTTGTACTGGAGATAGTGAATTGGAAGCGTAGCTCTTCCCTAGACGTACCTCACAGGAACTAGGTAACCAAAGCTTTGTGTCGTTCCTCAAAAAACAAAAAAACACACAAACACAAGTTAGTATTAAGGTTAATTGGTCAAGAAGCTTAGCTAACCAAAATCTAGCTAACAAGTAGGAGGTTTAGGTTAAACTATCCGCCTATAAACCTCACAATTGTGATTTAACAGTACATAAAGATTACAAAATCTTTTAACTGTTTCATAAGGTCTT